TCCCCTCTCCTCTCCTCTCCTCTCCTTTCCTTTCCTTTCCTTTCCTTTCCTTTCTTTTTCTTCCTTTCTTCCTAAATTAATGAATAGTAGCCTGATGTGTGTCCTTCTCTCTTCAGGCAGATCAAATTGCTTTCAAGAGGGGAAGGACACAGCTTTGTTAGTTTGCTTTCTGAACCCACCTGAAAATTTCTCCTACCTAATTCTGCCATATCTGCCTTTATTTATTTATTTATTTTATTAACACTAGCGTCTGCTTTCCTGCGGCATGTTTACTCGTTCATATGCCAGCTTTTCACGGTGTGCTAATTTATTATCATACTCGATTGTATAACGGGCAGGCAGTTAAAACTGAACCTGTCTGGTGGTGTGCCCTTTGCCCAGCTCCCACTTTGTTAGGATTCTTACTGACTTCACTTTGGAAACAGTCTGTAATTTCCACTTTTTCTGTTTTATTTTCATTTTGACTTGAATAACTGGAGAAATCGTTTTGAGTCTGTAACTTATTTATTAATCTAGCATTTTATTACATTGTGGTCAATAATATTTTTTCCATACCAATTTGTTTGAAAAATGATGTGTTTGTTGTAGATTAATATGGATATTTGTGATTAAATTGATATGTTTTAAGTGTTCTGAATCCTTATTCATTTTTCATGAACCTAGTAAGTGGAGGATTTATAGTTAATTATACTTCCGTATTATTTTTGTCTATTTTCATGTTCTATTGGAAGCACAGAAATATAACAATAATTTCCTTTTGTTTTTAGATTATACTTTGATGTTAATATTTGACTGTCTCTTTTGTTGTAGTGTTAAGGGTGTACCTACATCTCGCAAAGGCAATTGCAACATTTCTTTTATTGGAATCTAAAAATATACAACATTAGAGTCTGTATCTTTTACTAAGAAAATTTCATCAGTTTGAACTTATTGTAATAGTTATTGAAGATATTTATTACGATGCTTAACTCATTTTATGGTTTGTGTTTTTTTTATATCTGCTGGCTGTTACTCCAGGTTATCTTCAAGGCTCTAACATATATTCTCACATAATTTTAAAAATTAAGAACAAAAACGCTGTTTGCAGTCTCTGTATAAAGATGTTTGATAAAATCTTGAGTTTTAAGAAAAATGAATATTAAAATTTGTTAAAGTATTTTTAAAATATTTCCAGTAGCTTTATAATATATTTGCAAATATTATGCTCTTCTGTTTTTCCTTTAAAAGAATTATTTCTTGATTCTTTGGTTTTTAATTTCTCAGAGAGTGTCTCTGAGTAATTTATTAGGTGTTTATGGTGGATATAGTTTTTGTGAGCTTTTCATACCAAGAATTATGTTCTAATTATCGTGACACCATGATAATTGGCTAGGCTTGACATTTTCTTCATCAACT